AACATAAATAGAAGACCAGTAGAAAAGAGGAAGATCAGGAGGATGGGAAGAAGAGAGAGAAAGGAGAAGTACTGCAGAACGAAATGGAGCAAATTATGTCATGTGCATGTGTGGATATGTCACAATGAGCCCCAACTATTATACAGAATTTATAACTCACTAATAAAAACATAATAAAATCATTAGGCTGAGATGGCTTCCGTGTTCTAGGTAACTCAAGAAGCAAACAGAAACTCAACCCAGTGTGACCCAACCAGTCAGAAATTACCAGTTGAGCTCTAGCTAGGGACTTTCCTTTTTTAACCAAATAGATGTTTTATTTGTCTTACTCCCATAAACACTTTAAAAATGATTTCCCCTCATATTCCCCCGTAACCCTGAACTTCTTGTGGTGTAGAGCTGCCTGATTTTGAATCACTGTTGCCTCAAATATAACTTAAACAATTTCAATGTGCTTAGCTTTATTTTTCAACAGTTGCCATCTCATTTTTGAATCATTTCTTATCGGTGCATAATAATTATACAGAATAGTGGGTTTCATTGTGGGATTTCTGCACACACTGATAATTTAGTTAGTTTTGCTTCCCAGTACTTCCCCTCGCCCTTTCCTCCTCCGAATCCCCTTCCTCTATGCAATGGGTCTCCTTTCTGTTCTCACGGTATGGTCGGCTCATTTTTGACAAAGCCCTTATCACAGTTTGCCAGTATGCACTTATTTGTTGGCTTCCTTGATTACTGTCTGTTCCCGGGCCAACCAGCTGATTGTCTGGTGGGAGAGGCAGACAAGTCCTGTTTCTGTTTTCTTCATAACTGTAAGCCCAGGAGCTGGCAGAGTATCTGACTAGTAAAGAGAATTCAATATTCACTGAACAAATGAATGGATGGATGAGAGTTGGTATTATTTTCTGATAAGATTTAAAGATTATCTGGAGGTTTCACAAAGCCCTGGGACCTATACACTAGAGTATGTTTTCTTTTTTCTGCTTTTGATAGAAGGAAGAAGGAAATTGAATCTTTATCCTAAAATTTCCTTGAATGCTAAATTACTTGATGAAGAAAAAGGGCAAAAATAGTCATTTATAGCTTGTTTTGATAGCAAGCTGCTCTAGAGAGCTAGGTAGGTTGATGAAGGATTCGAGCCGTACATAAACAACTGAACCAGAAGGAAAATTTAGGCATGAGAGAAACCTTGGATCTCTTCTTGTTTTCTCACTCTCACCTGATTACCTTGTTTCCTACTTCACTCACGGTGAGAATTGACAAACTTCACCTATTATAAACTCTTTGGCAATTTATTCTGAAATATAAATGGACAGACAAGATCACAGACTATTGGAGGATAGCCTGTAACATGAAAGACAGTCTCCAAACCAACTGGATTGAGGTCTCACCACACTCAGACAGCAAACTAAGAGAGAAAAACAAGAGATACAGGAAACAAGAGAGGGGGAAAGGACTTCTCCTTCCTGTCCACTCATTTATTTGGACCTAGCACACTACAAAATACAAATATATCTGTATAAAAAGTGCTGTAACAAGTTGCCAGTTGATACATAAAAATATTTTGTAGATGTTTTGAAGCATTAAAAAACCCCTCAATCTTTTTCATTTACTTAAGTAAAGGAAACTATAATGATATTATAATGATACACTATAATGATATATTATAGGTACACTCTGAATTATTACTCCTACCAGTATTTCTGACATTTTCAGATGTAGTAGTTTTCAGATGTAGTAGTTTAAAATTTTATTGGACCATAATGATTCTACATGATACCGGGATTCATTGTCAAATATACGCAAATAACATAATTTGATCAATTTCATTCACCAGTACTTCCCTTTCTCCTACTTCCTCCTTCCCCTGGACCCCTTCCCCTATCTTTTTCATCTTCCTTCCATTTTCATGAGATCCATTTCCCCCCACTTTTGTTTCCCTCTCTAGCTACCACATATGACAGAAAACATATAACCCTTGACTTTCTGAGTCTGGTTAATTTCACATGATTTTTTTCCGAGTTCCAACAATTTTCATACAAATGACATCCATTGTGTGTGTATATACATCACATCTTCTTTATCCATTCCTCTGTTGATGGACACCTAGGCTGTTGTGAATTGCTTGGCTATAAACATGGGTTTGCATGTATTGCTATTGTGCGCTGGCTTTAATTCATTAGGATAAACACCAAGGAGTGGTATAGCTGGGTCATATGGGGGTTCCATTTCCTAGTCTTTAAAGGAGCCTCCATACTGATTTCCATCATCATTGTGCTCATTTATATTCACACCAAAAGTGTGTAAGTGTTCCTGGGGGCAAAGGACTTGTCAGAATGGTGAACTGAAGAAGTCTCAGAGTGAGAGCTGTGCAGCAAGACCAGATAACTGGGAAAAGACATTGTCAACTACAGGAAAAACAGAGTTGTTAGAAGTACAATCATGGAATTATAATACTCTACGTGACTCAAGTGTGCATGCACATTAGCACAAACATTGAGTCTAATTTAAAAAAAGCTATGGCATCACATGTCCTTACAAAGTGGGCAGAAAGGTCTGTGTGTTGGTGAGGAGCCATAGAGAGAACGAAGGGGGACAGGGTGGGGACAGGGAAATGGGAATGAAGTACTTATGTTCATAGCAGGAATCAATAAATTATGTTTAAAATTTAGAAAAAATGGTAGAGCAAATATATTATTGCTAAATATTAAGATGATATCACAATAAATAATCCCAGTGGCTCAGGGAGCTGAGGAAGGAGGATCACAAGTTCAGTGCCAGCCTCAGCAACTTAGGGATGCCCTAAGCAACTCAGTGAGACACTGTCTCTAAATAAAATAAAATAAAATAAAAAAAGGGCTAGGGATGTGGGTCAGTGATTAAGTGCCCATGAGTTCAATCCCCAGTATCAAAAAAAGAAAAATAAATAGATCAAATAATTCATATTTGTTGCCTATGAGAAGTAGCAGTTCTGGGTGTGATGTGTCAGAGTTTTGCTATTTTTTTTAAATCACAAGTTTATTGTACAAGTTGAATTTAAAAACTATCTACGTAGTATTTTGAAATACTTAAAATGTTAAAAAAAAAATCTGGGTGCAATGGCAGATACCTGTAATCCCAATGACTCCGGAGGTTGAGGCATTAGGATTGCAAATTCAAGGTCAGCCTTAGTAACTTAATGGGGTCCTGTCTTAAAATAGAAAAATAAAAAAAGGGATGGGTATGTAGTTTAGTGGTAAAGCACCCCTGGGTTCAATTGCCAGTTCCAAAAAAAAAAAAAAAAAATGAAACAGTAGAAAACACTACATAACCGCTGTTAATTATGATAAACAGTATTTCAGGAAAATGCCAAAAAAAAAAAGTAAAAAAAAAACACACCAAGAAATAAAGAACAATATCAACAACAAACTCCTCAAAGGTCTAGGAAATTGACCTGAAGTAAAGGGGAGGGAGGGTTCTGCAGGAAGAATTAATAGTTTAAACAAAGAGCAGAGATTAACCACTAAATTTTTAGTTAAAGCAAATAAATACAGAGCTGGAACCAAATCTTGTTTCAATTATGCATTCAACAAAATTCAACATTACTAACTAGTTAATATTTGTGCTTATTTAAAAAAAAAAACTAATAAAACTTTAGAGCTAGGGAAGAAATTCAGAGTATCAGCTACCTTGCTTACTGTTCCACACATCTGTTATTTGGACACCCCAGACAGCAGGAATTCCAAAAGCTAATGCACAGTTGTTGAAGGCACAGACTTGTAAACCCACACCTGTCACAGAGCACTGTTTGCTCTTTGCATCTGATGAGAACCAGCATCCCTTAACTCATAGGCAAGGAGGAAGAATTAGTTCAGTGTCTCTTTTCAAGATCTTGGAGAAATCAACAGTGTTTTGTGAGAGTGAAATGCTTCGTTGGCCAGCCTCCAACCTCAGCTTGATGGCAGAACAAGAGGCTGATTCCTGACGGAGAGAGTCCTGAGGTATGGAAAGCCCCAGATACCTCAACTCCCGCAGTAGCCTCCCCCAAACCCAGGGGTATGGGCATCTAGTGACATTATTTGAGGTGTGAGGTGTGAGCTCTGTTTTCGAGTTGCTCAGCTGCTTGCAGCAGCAGCTCCTGTCTGGCTTCTCTTCTGTACGGCTGGAAGGAGAAAACAGGGAGAAAGAGAAGGCAATGGCTG